GATTGGTCAAATGAGTCAAAACAAAGAGGAGAGAGGAGGGGATAGGTGAAATGACTCAAAACAGAGAGAGAGGAGGGGATTGGTCAAATGACTCAAAACAGAGAAGAGAGAGGAGGGGATTGATCAAATGACTCAAAACAAAGAGGAGAGAGGAGGGGATTGGTCAAATGACTCAAAACAGAGAGGAGAGAGGAGGGGATTGGTGAAATGACTCAAAACTGAGGGGAGAGAGGAGGGGATTGGTCAAATGACTCAAAACAAAGAGGAGAGAGAGGAGGGGATTGGTGAAATGACTAGAAACAAAGAGGAGAGAGGAGGGAATTGGTTAAATGACTCAAAACGAATAGGAGAGATGAGGGGATTGGTCAAATGAATCAAAACAGAGGGGAGAGAGTAGGGGATTGGTCAAATGACTAAAAACAGGGGGAAGAGAGGAGGGGATTGGTCAAATGACTCAAAACAAAGAGGAGAGAGGAGGGGATTGGTCAAATGACTCAAAACAGAGGGGAGAGAGTAGGGGATTGGTCAAATGACTCAAAACAGGGGGAAGAGAGGAGGGGATTGGTCAAATGACTCAAAACCAAAAGGAGAGAGGAGGGGACTGGTCAATGACTCAAAACAGAGGGGAGAGAGGAGGGGATTGGTCAAATGGCTCAAAACAAAGAGGAGAGAGGAGGGGATTGGTCAAATGACTCAAAACAAAGGGGACAGAGGAGGGGATTGGTCAAATGACTCACAACGCACCCGGGGCTGGTTTGGTGGGCCATGCGGCATGGCATGGCGCTGCGCTCCCTCCTCCTGCTTCTGTTTCTCTCCCTTGTTCTCTCTCATGTCCCGCGCATGGATGAACAGGGACGGCATCACAAGCAGCTGGCAACGCAGCTGAGTTGTGCAGCAGAGCAGGTGAGTTGTGCAGCGGAGCAGGTGAGTGGTGCAGCAGAGCAGGTGAGCGGTGCGGCAGAGCAGGTGAGTGGTGCAGCAGAGCAGGTGAGTGGTGCGGCAGAGCAGGTGAGTGGTGCGGCAGAGCAGGTGAGTGGTGCAGCAGAGCAGGTGAGTGGTGCGGCAGAGCAGGTGAGTGGTGCAGCAGAGCAGGTGAGTGGTGCGGCAGAGCAGGTGAGTGGTGCAGCAGAACAGGTGAGTGGTGCGGCAGAGCAGGTGAGTGGTGCGGCAGAGCAGGTGAGTGGTGCAGCAGAGCAGGTGAGTGGTGCAGCAGAGCAGGTGAGTGGTGCAGCAGAGCAGGTGAGTGGTGCGGCAGAGCAGGTGAGTGGTGCAGCAGAGCAGGTGAGTGGTGCAGCAGAGCAGGTGAGTGGTGCGGCAGAGCAGGTGAGTGGTGCAGCAGAGCAGGTGAGTGGTGCAGCAGAGCAGGTGAGTGGTGCGGCAGAGCAGGTGAGTGGTGCAGCAGAGCAGGTGAGTGGTGCAGCAGAGCAGGTGAGTGGTGCAGCAGAGCAGGTGAGTGGTGCAGCAGAGCAGGTGAGTGGTGCAGCAGAGCAGGTGAGTGGTGTGGCAGAGCAGGTGAGTGGTGCGGCAGAGCAGGTGAGTGGTGCGGCAGAGCAGGTGAGTGGTGCAGCAGAGCAGGTGAGTGGTGCAGCAGAGCAGGTGAGTGGTGCAGCAGAGCAGGTGAGTGGTGCAGCAGAGCAGGTGAGTGGTGCGGCAGAGCAGGTGAGTGGTGCAGCAGAGCAGGTGAGTGGTGCGGCAGAGCAGGTGAGTGGTGCAGCAGAGCAGGTGAGTGGTGCGGCAGAGCAGGTGAGTGGTGCGGCAGAGCAGGTGAGTGGTGCAGCAGAGCAGGTGAGTGGTGCGGCAGAGCAGGTGAGTGGTGCAGCAGAGCAGGTGAGTGGTGCGGCAGAGCAGGTGAGTCGTGCGGCAGAGCAGGTGAGTGGTGCAGCAGAGCAGGTGAGTGGTGCGGGAGAGCAGGTGAGTGGTGCAGCAGAGCAGGTGAGTGGTGCGGCAGAGCAGGTGAGTGGTGCAGCAGAGCAGGTGAGTGGTGCGGCAGAGCAGGTGAGTGGTGCGGCAGAGCAGGTGAGTGGTGCGGCAGAGCAGGTGAGTGGTGCGGCAGAGCAGGTGAGTAGTGCAGCAGAGCAGGTGAGTGGTGCGGCAGAGCAGGTGAGTGGTGCAGCAGAGCAGGTGAGTGGTGCGGCAGAGCAGGTGAGTGGTGCAGCAGAGCAGGTGAGTGGTGCAGCAGAGCAGGTGAGTGGTGCGGCAGAGCAGGTGAGTGGTGCAGCAGAGCAGGTGAGTGGTGCGGCAGAGCAGGTGAGTGGTGCGGCAGAGCAGGTGAGTGGTGCAGCAGAGCAGGTGAGTGGTGCAGCAGAGCTGGTGAGTGGTGCAGCAGAGCAGGTGAGTGGTGCGGCAGAGCAGGTGAGTGGTGCAGCAGAGCAGGTGAGTGGTGCGGCAGAGCAGGTGAGTGGTGCGGCGGAGCAGGTGAGTGGTGCAGCAGAGCAGGTGAGTGGTGCGGCAGAGCAGGTGAGTGGTGCAGCAGAGCAGGTGAGTGGTGCAGCAGAGCAGGTGAGTGGTGCGGCAGAGCAGGTGAGTGGTGCAGCAGAGCAGGTGAGTGGTGCGGCAGAGCAGGTGAGTGGTGCAGCAGAGCAGGTGAGTGGTGCAGCAGAGCAGGTGAGTGGTGCAGCAGAGCAGGTGAGTGGTGCGGCAGAGCAGGTGAGTGGTGCGGCAGAGCAGGTGAGTGGTGCGGCAGAGCAGGTGAGTGGTGCGGCAGAGCAGGTGAGTGGTGCAGCAGAGCAGGTGAGTGGTGCGGCAGAGCAGGTGAGTGGTGCAGCAGACCAGGTGAGTGGTGCGGCAGAGCAGGTGAGTGGTGCAGCAGAGCAGGTGAGTGGTGCAGCAGAGCAGGTGAGTGGTGCGGCAGAGCAGGTGAGTGGTGCGGCAGAGCAGGTGAGTGGTGCGGCAGAGCAGGTGAGTGGTGCGGCAGAGCAGGTGAGTGGTGCAGCAGAGCAGGTGAGTGGTGCGGCAGAGCAGGTGAGTGGTGCGGCAGAGCAGGTGAGTGGTGCGGCAGAGCAGGTGAGTGGTGCAGCAGAGCAGGTGAGTGGTGCGGCAGAGCAGGTGAGTGGTGCAGCAGAGCAGGTGAGTGGTGCAGCAGAGCAGGTGAGTGGTGCGGCAGAGCAGGTGAGTGGTGCAGCAGAGCAGGTGAGTGGTGCAGCAGAGCAGGTGAGTGGTGCGGTAGAGCAGGTGAGTGGTGCAGCAGAGCAGGTGAGTGGTGCAGCAGAGCAGGTGAGTGGTGCAGCAGAGCAGGTGAGTGGTGCGGCAGAGCAGGTGAGTGGTGCGGCATAGCAGGTGAGTGGTGCGGCAGAGCAGGTGAGTGGTGCGGCAGAGCAGGTGAGTGGTGCAGCAGAGCAGGTGAGTGGTGCGACAGAGCAGGTGAGTGGTGCGGCAGAGCAGGTGAGTGGTGCAGCAGAGCAGGTGAGTGGTGCGGCAGAGCAGGTGAGTGGTGCGGCAGAGCAGGTGAGTGGTGCAGCAGAGCAGGTGAGTGGTGCGGCAGAGCAGGTGAGTGGTGCAGCAGAGCAGGTGAGTGTTGCAGCAGAGCAGGTGAGTGGTGCGGCAGAGCAGGTGAGTGGTGCACCAGAGCAGGTGAGTGGTGCGGCAGAGCAGGTGAGTGGTGCAGCAGAGCAGGTGAGTGGTGCGGCAGAGCAGGTGAGTGGTGCAGCAGAGCAGGTGAGTGGTGCAGCAGAGCAGGTGAGTGGTGCGGCAGAGCAGGTGAGTGGTGCACCAGAGCAGGTGAGTGGTGCGGCAGAGCAGGTGAGTGGTGCAGCAGAGCAGGTGAGTGGTGCGGCAGAGCTGGTGAGTGGTGCGGCAGAGCAGGTGAGTGGTGCAGCAGAGCAGGTGAGTGGTGCGGCAGAGCAGGTGAGTGGTGCGGCAGAGGAGGTGAGTGGTGCAGCAGAGCAGGTGAGTGGTGCGACAGAGCAGGTGAGTGGTGCAGCAGAGCAGGTGAGTGGTGCGGCAGAGCAGGTGAGTGGTGCAGCAGAGCAGGTGAGTGGTGCGGCAGAGCAGGTGAGTGGTGCAGCAGAGCAGGTGAGTGTTGCAGCAGAGCAGGTGAGTGGTGCGGCAGAGCAGGTGAGTGGTGCACCAGAGCAGGTGAGTGGTGCGGCAGAGCAGGTGAGTGGTGCAGCAGAGCACGTGAGTGGTGCGGCAGAGCTGGTGAGTGGTGCGGCAGAGCAGGTGAGTGGTGCAGCAGAGCAGGTGAGTGGTGCGGCAGAGCAGGTGAGTGGTGCGGCAGAGCAGGTGAGTGGTGCAGCAGAGCAGGTGAGTGGTGCGACAGAGCAGGTGAGTGGTGCAGCAGAGCAGGTGAGTGGTGCGGCAGAGCAGGTGAGTGGTGCGGCAGAGCTGGTGAGTGGTGCGGCAGAGCAGGTGAGTGGTGCAGCAGAGCAGGTGAGTGGTGCAGCAGAGCAGGTGAGTGGTGCGGCAGAGCAGGTGAGTGGTGCACCAGAGCAGGTGAGTGGTGCGGCAGAGCAGGTGAGTGGTGCTGCAGAGCAGGTGAGTGGTGCTGCAGAGCAGGTGAGTGGTGCGACAGAGCAGGTGAGTGGTGCGGCAGAGCAGGTGAGTGGTGCAGCAGAGCAGGTGAGTGGTGCGGCAGAGCAGGTGAGTGGTGCGGCAGAGCAGGTGAGTGGTGCGGCAGAGCAGGTGAGTGGTGCGGCAGAGCAGGTGAGTGGTGCGGCAGAGCAGGTGAGTGGTGCGGCAGAGCAGGTGAGTGGTGCGGCAGAGCAGGTGAGTGGTGCAGCAGAGCAGGTGAGTGGTGCGGCAGAGCAGGTGAGTGGTGCAGCAGAGCAGGTGAGTGGTGCGGCAGAGCAGGTGAGTGGTGCAGCAGAGCAGGTGAGTGGTGCAGCAGAGCAGGTGAGTGGTGCGGCAGATCAGGTGAGTGGTGCGGCAGAGCAGGTGAGTGGTGCAGCAGAGCAGGTGAGTGGTGCAGCAGAGCAGGTGAGTGGTGCGGCAGAGCAGGTGAGTGGTGCGGCAGAGCAGGTGAGTGGTGCGGCAGAGCATCACATGGCAGCATTGCTGCTTGGATGGTCTCATGTAATCCGTTGCCGCATGGCAAGCATCTCATTGCGTCTCAGTCCTACATTCGAACCCACATGCCATCCCACATGGAGGGAACAGGAGATTTGATGACAGCATTGCTGCTTGGATGGTCACATGTGAGTGGGGCAGTTGCAGCACGGTGCTGCATCTCACAGTGCTGGTTACATTTCACAGTGCTGGTTACATCTCACAGTGCTGGTTACATCTCACAGTGCTAGTTACATTTCACAGTGCTGGTTACATCTCACAGTGCTGATTACATCTCACAGTGCTGGTTACATCTCACAGTGCTGGTTACATCTCACAGTGCTGGTTACATCTCACAGTGCTGGTTACATCTGACAGTGCTGGTTACATCTCACAGTGCAGTGCTGGTTACATCTGATAGTGCTGGTTACATCTCACAGTGCTGGTTATATCTCACAGTGTTACATCTCACAGTGCTGGTTACATCTCACTCTTCTGGTTACATTGAGTCATTGACTCAATCTGCTCCTCATTCTCTCAGCTCCTCTTCTTCCATTCTCTCCCTCACACACTTTCCTTTCCCCCCTCTCTCCCTGTTTCCCTCCCTCCTTCCCTCCCTCTCTCCCTCTTTCCCTCCCTCCTTCCCTACATTGACTCAATCTGCTCCTCATTCTCTCAGCTCCTCTCCTTCCATTCTCTCCCTCACACACTTTCCATCCCCCCTCTCTCCCTCTTTCCCTCCCTCCTTCCCTCCCTCTCTCCCTCTTTCCCTCCCTCCTTCCCTCCCTCTCTCCCTCCTTTCATCAGAAGTATCCTCACGACTTGGCTAGAGCAGCGGAGCTAGCAGTGGCATCCCTACAGGTGAGCAGCTGCTGTTGCGCCTCGTGCTTGTGTTTGTTGATGCTCTGCTGTGTTTTCAATGTTTGTCTAGCTTTTCTGTTTCAACAGCAGAGCTGGCAGTGGCACTGGGCTGTCCATGGCTTTGAGGCAAGCTATATCAGCAGAGTTGGCATTGGCAACCCGTGGCATTGCAACCTTTCTGACCTGATTGCTCCTCTCCTCCCATTCTTTCTCCCTACAGGCTGTGCTCGCACGAACCTTGCAGCACCGCTCTCCACCTCTGGACGGCACCGAGTCCTCTCCCACTCCCCCCACTCCCAATCGCCTGGAGCTCTGCCTCGTTCAGAGCCGTGATGACATTATAAGCCCGCCTGTTGTGTTACGTGCACAAGCGGTTGAAAGCGGTGTAGATGGTTTAGATGGATTGCAAGATGGTGAAAGTGCCTTGGTGAGCGGTGACAGTGTAGGGGTGCTGCAGGATAAGGGAGTTGATGCTCAGCTGACAACTGAGAGCTGAGTTGAATGTACTGTAAAAAGAGAACGCTCAACTGTTTTTGGCCGGGTGAGGCACTTTCCTGAGCACAATTAACACCATGAAAAGGACCAGGCGGGAATCGAACCCACGAGGTGTTGCACATTTGTGTTTGAAAGAAGTTATGCTACTGGTCCTGTGATATAAGCAATTTGTTGTGTACTATAGTATTTGACAACGACGTGATTTATGCTATTTGTTGTGTACTGAGCTCTCTTGTCAAGCATCATGGAGGACGCAGAGCCGCTGCGCGCGCTCTCCGCCCACATCGCGTAAAAACGGACCAGGCGGGTATCGCGATAGTTTCCCTCAGCTTTCCGCTCTATCGCCGCGTTCCTTCCGTCCCTAGTCCCTCCCCGCGCTGCGCGCGCTCTCCGTCCACAGCGCGTGACGCGGACCCTACTTGTCTCCCGGGTCTCTCGGGTGAGAGCCGAGTATCCTAACCGACTAGACTACAACGGATGTCACCAACCTTTGACACAAAAATAATGACCTATGTGTTTTTCTGCAATTCTGCCGCTCACGATGACGTTTTCCCATGCGGTTGTCATGACGTCGTCTCTCTCCGTCGCCCTGCACGGGGGCGGTCGTGTGCTCAGCATTCAGTCACATACCGTCCAGGTATCCGTTGCATGCAGTCGTACACTGCCCAGGTATCCTTCGCATTCTGTCGCAGACCGTGTTGGTCACCGTCGCATTCACCTGCCCTCACGGTCCAGATAGCAAACGATACCGACGTCGTTACTCTACCCCGGCGTAGGCAATGCAAAGCAGCGTTTTTTCCGTTACGTAGGGTAACCCTACGGTAGCCAAAGCAACCGCCGGTGGCCGAGAGTCCCTCTCAGGTGTCTCTCAGACGCCCCTCTCAAGTGACTCTCAGGTTACCCTCTCAGGTGTCTCTCAGGTGCCCATCTCAGGTGTCCATCTCGGGTGCCCCTTTCAGGTGCCCCACTCAGGTGTTTCTCAGGCGCCCATCTCAGGTGTCTCTCAGGCGCCCCTCTCAGGTATTTTCTCAGGGGGTCCCTCTCAGGCTTCTCTCAGCTGTCCCTTTCAGCTGCCCCTCTCAGGTGTCTCTCAGGTTCCCCTCTCAGGTGCCCATCCCAGGTGTCTCTCCAATGTCTCTCAGGTGCTTGCTTAGTACGACCATGCGAAGTCTGGTATGAAGCTCTGAGTGTCTCGGTCATGCATCAAGTGTATGAAGCATGGGCTCATGCGAACGCGTGTGTGATGGCGTGTGTCTGCATTGAGTGTATGAGTGTATGTATATACATGCATACATATATCTATCTAAATACATATTTATGTTTATACATCTATGTGTTTACACCCTGACACTTCGGTCACATATCTATATTGCTTCGTACACGGTCCATGCGTCAGAACTATGTGGGTGGGCAGCAAGGTGGCCAGGTTCCCCCGGCAGCTGGTGAGTGGTGCGGCAGAGCAGGTGAGTGGTGCGGCAGAGCAGGTGAGTGGTGCGGCAGAGCAGGTGAGTGGTGCGGCAGAGCAGGTGAGTGGTGCGGCAGAGCAGATGAGTGGTGCGGCAGAGCAGGTGAGTGGTGCGGCAGAGCAGGTGAGTGGTGCAGCAGAGCAGGTGAGTGGTGCGGCAGAGCAGGTGAGTGGTGCGGCAGAGCAGGTGAGTGGTGCGGCAGAGCAGGTGAGTGGTGCGGCAGAGCAGGTGAGTGGTGCGGCAGAGCAGGTGAGTGGTGCAGCAGAGCAGGTGAGTGGTGCGGCAGAGCAGGTGAGTGGTGCAGCAGAGCAGGTGAGTGGTGCAGCACAGCAGGTGAGTGGTGCGGCAGAGCAGGTGAGTGGTGCAGCAGAGCAGGTGAGTGGTGCGGCAGAGCAGGTGAGTGGTGCAGCAGAGCAGGTGAGTGGTGCGGCAGACCAGGTGAGTGGTGCGGCAGAGCAGGTGAGTGGTGCAGCAGAGCAGGTGAGTGGTGCAGCAGAGCAGGTGAGTGGTGCGGCAGAGCAGGTGAGTGGTGCAGCAGAGCAGGTGAGTGGTGCGGCAGAGCAGGTGAGTGGTGCGGCAGAGCAGGTGAGTGGTGCGGCAGAGCAGGTGAGTGGTGCAGCAGAGCAGGTGAGTGGTGCGGCAGAGCAGGTGAGTGGTGCGGCAGAGCAGGTGAGTGGTGCGGCAGAGCAGGTGAGTGGTGCAGCAGAGCAGGTGAGTGGTGCGGCAGAGCAGGTGAGTGGTGCAGCAGAGCAGGTGAGTGGTGCAGCAGAGCAGGTGAGTGGTGCAGCAGAGCAGGTGAGTGGTGCAGCAGAGCAGGTGAGTGGTGCGGCAGAGCAGGTGAGTGGTGCGGCAGAGCAGGTGAGTGGTGCGGCAGAGCAGGTGAGTGGTGCGGCAGAGCAGGTGAGTGGTGCGGCAGAGCAGGTGAGTGGTGCGGCAGAGCAGGTGAGTGGTGCGGCAGAACAGGTGAGTGGTGCGGCACAGCAGGTGAGTGGTGCGGCAGAGCAGGTGAGTGGTGTGGCAGAGCAGGTGAGTGGTGCGGCAGAGCAGGTGAGTGGTGCGGCAGAGCAGGTGAGTGGTGCGGCAGAGCAGGTGAGTGGTGCGGCAGAGCAGGTGAGTGGTGCGGCAGAGCAGATGAGTGGTGCGGCAGAGCAGGTGAGTGGTGCGGCAGAGCAGGTGAGTGGTGCAGCAGAGCAGGTGAGTGGTGCGGCAGAGCAGGTGAGTGGTGCGGCAGAGCAGGTGAGTGGTGCGGCAGAGCAGGTGAGTGGTGCGGCAGAGCAGGTGAGTGGTGCGGCAGAGCAGATGAGTGGTGCGGCAGAGCAGGTGAGTGGTGCGGCAGAGCAGGTGAGTGGTGCGGCAGAGCAGGTGAGTGGTGCGGCAGAGCAGGTGAGTGGTGCGGCAGAGCAGGTGAGTGGTGCAGCAGAGCAGGTGAGTGGTGCAGCAGAGCAGGTGAGTGGTGCAGCAGAGCAGGTGAGTGGTGCGGCAGAGCAGGTGAGTGGTGCAGCAGAGCAGGTGAGTGGTGCGGCAGAGCAGGTGAGTGGTGCGGCAGAGCAGGTGAGTGGTGCAGCAGAGCAGGTGAGTGGTGCGGCAGAGCAGGTGAGTGGTGCAGCAGAGCAGGTGAGTGGTGCGGCAGAGCAGGTGAGTGGTGCGGCAGAGCAGGTGAGTGGTGCAGCAGAGCAGGTGAGTGGTGCGGCAGAGCAGGTGAGTGGTGCAGCAGAGCAGGTGAGTGGTGCAGCAGAGCAGGTGAGTGGTGCAGCAGAGCAGGTGAGTGGTGCAGCAGAGCAGGTGAGTGGTGCGGCAGAGCAGGTGAGTGGTGCAGCAGAGCAGGTGAGTGGTGCGGCAGAGCAGGTGAGTGGTGCGGCAGAGCAGGTGAGTGGTGCGGTAGAGCAGGTGAGTGGTGCAGCAGAGCAGGTGAGTGGTGCGGCAGAGCAGGAGAGTGGTGCAGCAGAGCAGGTGAGTGGTGCAGCAGAGCAGGTGAGTGGTGCGGCAGAGCGGGTGAGTGGTGCAGCAGAGCAGGTGAGTGGTGCAGCAGAGCAGGTGAGTGGTGCGGCAGAGCAGGAGAGTGGTGCGGCAGAGCAGGTGAGTGGTGCAGCAGAGCAGATGAGTGGTGCAGCAGAGCAGGAGAGTGGTGCAGCAGAGCAGGTGAGTGGTGCAGCAGAGCAGGTGAGTGGTGCGGCAGAGCAGGTGAGTGGTGCGGCAGAGCAGGTGAGTGGTGCAGCAGAGCAGGTGAGTGGTGCAGCAGAGCAGGTGAGTGGTGCAGCAGAGCGATGAGTGGTGCGGCAGAGCAGGTGAGTGGTGCAGCTCTGCCACTCTTTCATATCCCAAACCTGGCCCAAACCAAACCTGCACTCCCCCCATCCCCCTGCACATATAATAACAGGCTCATACATTTATGTTCCTAACGTAATCAGATTCATCAATCCCTACCACTCTACACATTGCAAGCCAAGTGTCTTCGTCTTGGCGACAGGAGGGAAGCTGGCACCTGCGCAAGGGGAGGGGGGGAGTTGGGGTGGGGGAGAGGGGAAGCGGAGCAAGTGAGCGGGGGGAGCAGGGCAAGTGAGGGGATGGCAGGAGGTGTGAGGGCATGGTGGGATGGCAGGTGTGAGGGATATGGCAAGGTGTGCAGTGCATGCTCTGGGGCGACTCACAACGCACCTGGGGCCGGTTTGGTGGGCCATGCAGCATGGCATGGCGCTGCGCTCCCTCCTCCTGCTTCTGTTTCTCTCCCTTGTTCTCTCTCATGTTCCGCGCATGGATGATGAGGGACGGCCACACAAGCAGCTGGCAACGCATCTGCTCCCTGTGCAAAGTATCTTCATCTTGGCGACAGGAGAAACTGGCACCTGCGCAAGGGCAGGGGAGGAGTTGGGGTGGGGGAGCAGAGCAAGTGAGCGGGGGGAGCAGGGCAAGTGAGCGGGGGGAGCACCCGAAACCCCCTTACCCCCTTACCTGGCAGGAAATGAAAGTCACCATGCAGGGAATGCAATCCACCAGCCAGGGCATGAACAGGCACCATGCAGGGCATGTGAAGGCACCGTGCAACATGCGAAGGCACCTTGCAGGGCATGAGAAGGCACCTGGCAGAAGGGGTAAAGTGGGAAAAGAGGGGAGGGGGTGGGTGAGACAAGCTCAAATGGGCAGGCGCTGCACTGGCAGCTGGCAGAAAGGGGAGGGGAGAGGGTGGCTTGGACGTCTCACAGTTCCCCATGCCCCCTTACACCCCCCCCTTGAGCAAAGAATGCACACAGGAACAACAAACAAGCAAGCAAAACAAACTGAAACAGACAAACAAACAAACAAACAAACAAACAAACAAACAGGAAATATTGGGATGGAAAGAGGGGACGGGGTGAGTGAGACCTCTTCAATCAACATGCGCTACACTGGCACCTGCTGGAAACGGGAGGACAGAGGGGAGGTGTTGAGTGTGACACCTCAAAACATTATGCCTTGCACTGGCACCTGCTGGAAAGGGGAGGAAAATGGCATCATGCAAGGAATGAGAAGGCATCATGCAGGGAACGGCAAGGCACCTTGAGGGAATGAGAAGGCACGTGATTTTTATGTGCCCTAGTACATTGTTTTGCTTTTGTGTTCATACATTCATGCATCGTTCTGGTTCGCTCTTACCACGTGGGCGTGCGCGTCAGCTTGCCCCACCCCGTGCTGCACTGTCACGCCCCGCTGGCAGCTGCTGAAACACGGGGAGGGAGGGAGGGAGGGAGGGAGGGAGGGAGGGAGGGAGGAGAGGGGAGGGGAGGGGAGATGAGGCATTGGTCAAATGACTCGAAACAGAGGGGAGAGAGGAGGGGATTGGTCAAATGACTCAAAACAAAGAGGAGAGAGGAGGGAATTGGTTAAATGACTCAAAACAAATAGGAGAGAGGAGGGGATTGGTCAAATGTCTCAAAACAGAGGAGAGAGGAGAGGATTGGTCAAAGGACTCAAAACAGAGGGGAGAGAGTAGGGGATTGGTCAAATGACTCAAAACAGGGGGAATAGAGGAGGGGATTGGTCAAATGACTCAAAACAAAGAGGAGAGAGGAGGGGATTGGTCAAATGGCTCAAAACCGAGGGGAGAGAAGAGGGGATTGGTCAAATGACTCAAAACAGAGGGGAGAGAGGAGGGGATTAGTTAAATGATTCAAAACAGAGGGGAGAGAGGAGGGGATTGGTCAAATGACTCAAAACAAATATGAGAGAGGAGGGGATTGGTCAAATGACTCAAAACAAAGAGGAGAGAGGAGGGGATTGGTCAAATGACCTCAAACAGAGAGGAGAGAGGAGGGGATTGGTCAAATGACTCAAAACAGGGGGAAGAGAGGAGGGGATTGGTCAAATGACTCAAAACAAAGAGGAGAGAGGAGGGGATTGGTCAAATGACTCAAAACAGAGGGGAGAGAGGAGGGGATTGGTCAAATGACTCAAAACAAAGAGGAGAGAAGAGGGGATTGGTCAAATTACTCAAAACAGAGGGGAAGAGAGGAGGGGATTGGTCAAATGACTCAAAACAAAGAGGAGAGAAGAGGGGATTGTTCAAATTACTCAAAACAGAGGGGAGAGAGTAGGGGATTGGTCAAATGACTCAAAACAGGGGGAAGAGAGGAGGGGATTGGTCAAATGTCTCAAAACAAAGAGGAGAGAGGAGGGGATTGGTCAAATGACTCAAAACAGAGGGGAGAGAGGAGGGGATTGGTCAAATGACACAAAACAAAGAGGAGAGAGGAAGGTATTGGTCAAATTACTCAAAACAAAGGGGAGAGAGGAGGGGATTGGTCAAATGGCTCAAAACAGAGGGGAGAGAAGAGGGGATTGGTCAAATGACTCAGAACAGAGGGGAGATAGGAGGGGATTGGTCAAATGATTCAAAACAGAGGGGAGAGAGGAGGGGATTGGTCAAATGACTCAAAACAAAGAGGAGAGAGGAGGGGATTGGTGAAAAGACTCAAAACTGAGGGGAGAGAGGAGGGGATTGGTCAAATGAGTCAAAACAAAGAGGAGAGAGGAGGGGATAGGTGAAATGACTCAAAACAGAGAGAGAGGAGGGGATTGGTCAAATGACTCAAAACAAATAGGAGAGAGGAGGGGATTGGTCAAATGACTCAAAACAAAGAGGAGAGAGGAGGGGATTGGTCAAATGACTCAAAACAGAGAGGAGAGAGGAGGGGATTGGTGAAATGACTCAAAACTGAGGGGAGAGAGGAGGGGATTGGTCAAATGACTCAAAACAAAGAGGAGAGAGAGGAGGGGATTGGTGAAATGACTCGAAACAAAGAGGAGAGAGGAGGGAATTGGTTAAATGACTCAAAACGAATAGGAGAGATGAGGGGATTGCTCAAATGACTCAAAACAGAGGGGAGAGAGTAGGGGATTGGTCAAATGACTCAAAACAGGGGGAAGAGAGGAGGGGATTGGTCAAGAGACTCAAAACAAAGAGGAGAGAGGAGGGGATTGGTCAAATGACTCAAAACAGAGGGGAGAGAGTAGGGGATTGGTCAAATGACTCAAAACAGGGGAAAGAGAGGAGGGGATTGGTCAAATGACTCAAAACAAAGAGGAGAGAGGAGGGGATTGGTCAAATGACTCAAAACAGAGGGGAGAGAGGAGGGGATTGGTCAAATGACTCAAAACAAAGATGAGAGAGGAGGGGATTGGTCAAATGACTCAAAACAAAGGGGACAGAGGAGGGGATTGGTCAAATGACTCACAACGCACCTGGGGCTGGTTTGGTGGGCCATGCGGCATGGCATGGCGCTGCGCTCCCTCCTCCTATCACTCTGACCTTCCCTACACACTCACATCCGAGCTCACCTATCACTCTGACCTTCCCTACACACTCACATCCGAGCTCACCTATCACTCTTACCCTCCCTACACACTCACATCCGAGCTCACCTATCACTCTGACCCTCCCTACACACTCACATCCGAGCTCACCTATCACTCTGACCCTCCCTACACAGTCACATCCGAGCTCTCCTATCACTCTGATCCTCCCTACACACTCACATCCGAGCTCACCTATCACTCTGACCTTCCCTACACAGTCACATCCGAGCTCACCTATCACTCTGACCCTCCCTACACACTCACATCCGAGCTCACCTATCACTCTGACCCTCCCTACACAGTCACATCCGAGCTCTCCTATCACCCCGACCCTCCCTACACACTCACATCCGAGCTCTCCTATCACTCTGATCCTCCCTACACACTCACATCCGAGCTCACCTATCACTCTGACCTTCCCTACACACTCACATCCGAGCTCACCTATCACTCTGACCTTCCCTACACACTCACATCCGAGCTCACCTATCACTCTGACCCTCCCTACACAGTCACATCCGAGCTCACCTATCACTCTGACCCTCCCTACACACTCACATCCGAGCTCACCTATCACTCTGACCCTCCCTACACACCCACATCCGAGCTCTCCTATCACCCTGACCCTCCCTACACACTCACATCCGAGCTCTCCTATCACTCTGATCCTCCCTACACACTCACATCCGAGCTCACCTATCACTCTGACCTTCCCTACACACTCACATCCGAGCTCACCTATCACTCTGACCTTCCCTACACACTCACATCCGAGCTCACCTATCACTCTGACCCTCCCTACACACTCACATCCGAGCTCACCTAACCCTGTTACAGCCCTTGCCATCGCCGACCACTCACCTGGGCTTCGAGCCACCAGTTGCAATGTTGGGGGCGTGTATAAATCCTCTTGTTGTTGCGTTTCTTTATGCTCGGGTACAGTGCGAATCCTTTTTGGTTGCACCGGTCTTCAAAAATCGCCTGCACCACCTGGAAAACACGTAAAACGAAAAACGATCGTTAAATCACCACCAAATAGATTCTCTGTAGTGAAAGAGCATCACTCCCCGTGACTTACCTTGAGAGTGTCCGTGTATTTCAAGGGCACATAGACGGGTCGGCCATTCTCCAACACCCCTGGGACCTCGACCATTGTCGTCTTCCACTCGGGCGCTTTCGAGCCCCACTTGTCCGCAGCCCACTTTTGCGCATCTTTTATGCTCCGCCAGCCTTGGAGATCCTCGGAGTTGAAGCCCGGGTGGCATACGACCCGCAAAAACCGCTTGCTCTCTTCAACGGTCATGCCCTGCCCTTCACGGAAGCTTTGCATCAGTAACAGCAGCTCTTTTCGTGTGTCAAAGATTCCAGGCCCCCAATCGAAGTCAATCGGCTCTTGAGAGGCGTCGGGCTGAAAGGCGATTTGCTCGTGCTCATTCGTTGGCGCATCAAAGTGTGGCGCGGTAGTGTGAGCTTCTTGTGCGGGGCTTGTAGGAACTGCCGGATCGTCAATCCGCCTACGCTTGTGATGATGGCATGCGGGTGGCGGATCCTTGTGAATCTGTCCATCTTCGGTAGCCTTCAACGGGCCGTTCTCGTAGCCCTCGTCACGAAGGCGAGCTTGATGCAGCCTACACTCTACGTTGTTGGTCTGATGAGACTTCAGAGCACGGTGCGTCTGGAAGAGTGCTGCGCACCACGCACACAGAATAAGTGATAACATCACTAAATAACGTGCTCTCGGAGTTGCTGCCATAACAAAGGCAAATCTGAAGCCGTCGACGGCTTCCTATCCCGCAAAATCTGAGAAAGGGACTGCGGAAATGAAGGCGTTGTAAGCCTACGCGGCTTTTATGAGGATCGATCGGCATGTTGTGCAGTAGAAGCGAATAGAGACTACAGAGCGTCAAATCACTAGCGATCGTTCTTCCAAGTGCACGACCCTTGGCGTCTTGGCGGTCGAAATCCTGCTAGTGCGCTTCGCGGCAAATCGTAGCAGATCGTGCCTCATCGGTCGAAACTTGTACCTGTTGTGTGAGGCACGAACTTCGTGTGTTCAAACCTTTGATCTCGCTCCGTTATAAGTTTTACACTGGTTGTTTCAAAAACTCACTAAATAAAAGAGCCAGGAAATCGATAACTCACATCTTTACATTCCATTCCACAACTATTTGCACGAAACAATTCAACTTATCAGAGGTGTTTCCATGTAGTGTCGCAAACCCAATACCCTCGAAAAAAAATCACAGGTGTGCTCGCAATACCCAATACCTTGTCGTCGTCGTCGTTGTCGTCGTCGTCGTCGTTGCCGTCGTAGTCGCCCTTGTCGTCCTTGTCGTTCTTGTCGTCGTCGTTGCCGTCAGTGCCGTTGGTGCTCTTGCTGCTGTTGATGTTGCTGCTGCTGCTGTTGCTGCTGTTGTTGTTATTGTTGTCCTTGTCGTCCTTGTCGTCGTTGCCGTCGTTGTTGTCGGTGTTGTCGTTGGCACAGTTGTTGTTGCTGCTGCTGCTGCTGCTGCTGCTGCTGCTGTTGTTGATGTTGTTGCTGTAGTTGTGGTTGTTGTGGTCGTTGTTGATGTTGTTGTGGATGTTGTTGGTGTTGTTGTGGATGTTATTGTTGTTCTTGCTGTTGCTATTGTTGTCGTTGTCGTCGTCGTCGTCGTTTCCGTCGTAGTTGCCCTTGTCGTCCTTGTCGTTCTTGTCGTCGTCGTTGCCATTCGTGTCGTTGTTGTCGGTGTTGTCGTTGGCACAGTTGTTGTTGCTGCTGCTGCTGCTGCTGTTGTTGATGTTGTTGCTGTAGTTGTGGTTGTTGTGGCCGTTGTTGATGTTGTTGTGGATGTTGTTGGTGTTGTTGTGGATGTTATTGTTGTTCTTGCTGTTGCTATTGTTGTCGTTGTCGTCGTCGTCGTCGTTGCCGTCGTAGTTGCCCTTGTCGTCCTTGTCGTTCTTGTCGTCGTCGTTGCCATTCGTGCCGTTGGTGCTCTTGCTGCTGTTGATGTTGCTGCTGCTGCTGCTGCTGCTGCTGCTGTTGCTGCTGTTGTTGTTATTGTTGTCCTTGTCGTCCTTGTCGTCGTTGCCGTCGTTGTTGTCGGTGTTGTCGTTGGCACAGTTGTTGTTGCTGCTGCTGCTGCTGCTGCTGCTGCTGTTGTTGATGTTGTTGCTGTAGTTGTCCTTGTTGTGGCCGTTGTTGATGTTGTTGTGGATGTTGTTGCTGTTGTTGTGGATGTTATTGTTGTTCTTACTGTTGCTATTGTTGTCGTTGTCGTCGTCGTCGTCGCCCTTGTCGTCCTTGTCGTCGTCGTTGTCGGTGTTGTCGTTGGTGCAGCTGTTGTTGTTGCTGCTACTGCTGATGCTGTTGCTGGTGGTGCTGCTGCTGGTGCTGCTGCTGGTGCTGCTGCTGTTGTTGATGATGTTGTTGCTGTAGTTATGGTTGGTGTGGTTGTTGTTGATGTTGTTGTAGATGTTGTTGCTGTTGTTGTTGTTGCTGTTGTTGTGGCTGCTATTGTTGTTCTTGCTGTTGCTATTGTTGTCGTTGTCGTCGTCGTCGTCGTCTTCGCCCTTGTCGTCCTTGTCGTCGTCGTTGTCGGTGTTGTTGTTGTTGCAGTTGCTGCTGTTGCTGGTGCTGCTGATGCTGTTGCTGGTGTCAGAACATCATAGCTTACTCATTTCTGTAGGCTATAGTGGGGTATCCCATAGGGGGTACAACCCAATTAGGGTTTCATATTTGTACTCACTTCATTTCATAGTCATTCATTCACGTTCCTTTCTTCACAGCTGGTGCTGCTGCTGCTGGTGCTGCTGTTGGTGCTGCTCCTGTTGTTGCTGATGTTGTTGCTGTAGTTTTGGTTGTTGTGGCTGTTGTTGATGTTGTTGTAGATGTTGTTGCTGTTGTTGTTGCTGTTGTTGTGGCTGTTATTGTTGTTCTTGCTGTTGCTATTGTTGTCGTTGTCGTCGTCGTCGTCGTCGCCCGTGTCGTCCTTGTCGTCGTTGTCGTCATTCTTAAAACGGCTCACAAAAAATATTTTGCATCATTTTTAGCACATATTTTTCGAACATGTACACCATGAAGGAAGCTTACCAACTCTTAGCACCAACTGTGGCTTGTGCAGCTGTGAATGACATAGTTGATAATTGTGGTTTTCCAAATAAATGCAACAAATGTGAATTCATATCCAGTTGCTGTGTACTAGATCAGTTGCTAATTTGTCATTGAATTTATCACCATAAAGCGAGGGTCAGACGTTGATTCCGTAAGTACACCCCACATGACGGTGGAGGTAGTGAGCGACTCCTGCCGTGCACAGCTGGAACATTTGTCGTTATTCATGTTGCGACAAAGTTCGAAAGTGGCGGAATTGAACAGCACATGGCCTGGTTGGGCATGTTGCCATTTCTTCCTCACTGTACACCTGGTCCAATTTTGCCGAAGACAGCAACATCCACGTCGACCCTCACCTCCTATTCGCGGAATCACAAGTTTCCTGGCAACACAACGAATGAGTGACCATCTGGACGCGAACGAACTAGGCACAGTAACCACTTCTTGAGATGTGTGGTTGCGATTAGGGCGGAGTGCATCAAGCGATCCTTGCTATAAGTTTTGTCCGATGTGTAAGGGTATTACTGTACACCTGCTGCACCACAGCCACTTGGTCATGCCGACCAAACAACCCTATACCAGACTGATCCCACAGCTTGCGATCCACTTCAATCAGGCGTTGATGGTGCACCGGGTGCACGTCGATCCTTCTCGCAATTTTTTTTCTGTCGTCCAGCGACGCAGCGAAATGACAACGAGAATAAAACGAACGAATTACAAAGTCAGCCGCGAAAAAACACTGCAGTGGCGACCCCCGACCGCATCCATTGGTGCTTGGGGATCGCGACTGCAAAATTGCACATCCCTTGATACACCCCGCCCTTACACTTCCCCACAGATCATCCTCGTAGCCTCGTAACTGCTCCTTTCCCACCTTGACTAGCTTAGACGGTTACGATTTGTTGTTGCCAACTGATCGTGCGGACCATACATCGTCTTCTTCATTCGAATGTTCAAACTATGGCAATTCAAACACTCAAACAATCGCCTCTTCTGATAGTTAGAGCACGGAGGAGGACTTGGCTTTGTTTCCTCACTTCCCAGCTCCTCCTGAAGCTCTCGCGCCAAACTGTAGTTTACATTTGGCGCCAACACTGGAGGCTTACAAACCAGACGTTTCTCTGAATTGTGATTAGCTCGTATATTGACAAGATGTCGAACCTATTCCATGCCCAGACTTTCTCAACAGATAGCAGTGCTCGTAGCAGGTGGCGTTTTCAGCTGCCTAGGCTCTCAATCACCTGCCAGCAGAACATCAATACACCTGCCAAGCGCCGCCGATCACCTGCCCAACCATGCATTTCACCTGCCCAAATGTAGTGCTCACCTGCCCTTTGGCGCCAATCAACTGCGCTTGTAGGAGCTTCAATCTAATCGCCCAGCTTAACTACTACTTAAGTCACAACTTGCTGGGCATTATTATCATATTCATCCGTCTCCTAGTTCCTATCTTCCTCGGTACGGTCTTCACCACCTCCAGAACTATGGCTACTGTCCTTGCTGTCCGGAGCGAGGTGACAGGCAAGCGCCCCATCAAGCTGACCCCGAAGATGCAGGGAGCTGGGGGTCTTGGTACCCGCTTGAGTGGCGGTGTCAAGAAGCGCAAGGCTGTTGGCGGCCGACTGATCACGAAAGCGCGCAAGGATGGCGCTTCTGAGCACGTCGATGACAACGATGATGTCGACGATGTTGCGGGCAACACCGGCATTGACAACGCCTCTGCTGCCGCAGCTGACCCGTCTAGCGGTGCTGGTGATGCCGCTCCCTTGGGGGTTCAAGTCCATGCTGACGACTTCAGTGATGAGGAGCATGATGAGGAAGAGGAACGCACGAAGCTGCAGACGGAAAAGCAAGGTAAGAGCTCTTGAATTTTTCTTGCCCTGTTCTTTGGAACTTGTGTTGTGCTTGTATTCCAGATCTTCTCTTGTGCTTGTATCCCAGTTTTAACCGTAACGCTCATTTCCTGTGCCGCAGGGGACGGGCGACAGGACACGCTGAACAACATCACCGAGCGTGATGGGGCGTCGCTTCCCTCTCAAAGTCCTGCTGGGAGCCCCCTGGAGGGTGTTGCCGCGGCATCTGACCAGGCTGCTAACGGGCGGCTTGCTGAGTTGGAGCGAACCACGCAGCAGCAGTCACAGCTGATTTCGTCGCTTTTGTTGCAACTTAACAACGGGTCCTGCTCCCTGGAGAGGGGTGCGGTGGGTCATGCCTCGGGGTCTCCAAGCACCAATGGAACGCCGCGATCAGCACCAACGTCGCAGCAAGCTCATGTCGCCACACCCGAACGCGAAATGCTGCAGCGCCCGACATCCAACCGTGCTTCCCCTGCTGTGCCGCGGAAGCGGAAGTATCCAACGATGAAGAACAACGGTAACGTGTGCGACGTAGTCCTGCACACGTCACTCAGCGGTATCCCGTTGAGGGACCAGATCCTCATGCGCCAGTTGCCTTCCTATGGCAAGGCATGGAACGTAAGTGCCATATCGAAAGTGTGGAATGGGGGTTGGTGGGTTATGTTTGTGTGGGTTATGGCTAAGGGGCATTGCTGTTTGCTCATCCCCTCTTCACCCTTTCCTCACGCCCCTCCTTTTCTGGCCTTGTTCTGTTTTGAGTCGACTTGTTCTTCTCGCATGCTGATTTGCCACGTTTCCAAGTTTCCAAATCTCCCTATTCTTTTCCGCATTCCCATGTACCAGAAAAAAATGGAGCTTGCTGTGGTTGTGGCGTTCTTTCGCCAACCGGACGACGTTACGAGCGTGTACCCGTCAGAAAGCGTGGTGATGCGGTGCCTCATCGGTGTTTGGGGCGAGAGCAAGGCTGCCGCGCTAGTAGCAGTCATGACGTACTGCGTGGCGCGGGCAGGCGCTTCAACGCGCAAGCAGAGTGATTGGCGTGCGCGGATCTCGATGAATGGGCGCCGGAATTTTGCTGACGCCTATGGGCTAGTTTGCGAAGCGAATCCCCGCCTGAAGTTCGATTACAGCGAGCTGATTTGTGATGAGGAGCGCACACCGACCCAAGTATACAACTTGGAGAGCAAGGGTGGGATACCACTGGTCAAGCCTCTTGGTAAGTGCAGTACGTGAGCATTGGTAACCACAGTTGTTACGCATGGTGCTGTATACGTCTTATGTTCTTGGCATACCCTTGGTTATGCAAGTACCCACCTTTCCATATAACGTATGACTGCAATGTCTGTTTCCATTGTTTATATATCTATGTGCTGAGCAGAAAAGGGAGGGCTTCTTATCTGGCACTTTGCTGAAGGCACGATGCGCCCGTTTGGCACTGCGCTCTTCGACATCATCGTCCGCAACGCATTTCAGAAGGGTGCTGGCGGGTCGGCTACGGTGGTGAAGGCGTACCACATCGCCTATCTGCTGTATCTGGTACGTATGAGTGTGATTTTTTACGTTTGCACATGTGCGAGCACTTTGTTTCTTGTGTTGAATTGTAGCTGTAAGATTGGTTGCTTGAAGATTGCCTTGCATAGCCAGTTGGTCGCCCCATCTTCCCTCCAACCATCTTCCCTCCGACCCTCCCGCCAACCAATCGCACCATCAAATGGCCCCACCCGCCCCTCCCTGCCGCTTCTTGTCCCTTACCTCTCCCCCTCCCCTCCCCTTTTTCCCATTTCATTTTTTCCTCATCTTTACTGAACCCCAGGTACGGGCAGTCCCCCTTTGAGTTCTCACTGGGCGAGTCAGGAGGGAGCCTGCAGCTCGCAGTGATGAGCGGCACCATCAAATGGCCGCACCCGCCGCTCTCCGCCTCCTCCTTTCCATCCCCTAATCTCCCCTCTTTTCTCCTTCTCCCCATTTTCCCCCCTCCCCCACCCCTACCCTTGCTTCCTGCACTCTTTCCCCGGCCCTTTCTCCCCATTCCCTCCCGCCTTTTTTCTTCTCCTTTCCCGAACCCCAGGTACGGGCAGTCCCGTTTCGAGTTCTCCCTAGGCGAGTCAGGAGGCATGGTGCAGCTCGCAGTGATGGGCGGCACCATTAAATGGCCCCACCCGCCGCTCCCTGCCTCCTCCGCCATCCCTTAATCTCCCCTTTTTCTCCTTCTCCCCTTTTTCCCCCCTCCCCCACCCCAACCCTTGCTTCCTGCACTCTTTCCCCGGCCCTTTCTCCCCATTCCCTCCCGCCTTTTTTCTCCTTTCCCGAACCCCAGGTACGGGCAGTCCCCCTTTGAGTTCTCACTGGGCGAGTCAGGAGGCAGCCTGCAGCTCGCAGTGATGAGCGGCACCATTAAATAACCCCACCCGCCCCTCCCTGCCTCCTCCGCCATCCCCTAATCTCCCCTCTTTCTCCTTCTCCCCATTTTTCCCCCTTCCCTGTTTCCCATGCCACCCTGCCCATTTCCTGCCACACTGGCAGAAGCTTGTAGGGCGTTGATTCCATGCCCAGCGTGTTGCACTCCATACTTCATGCATCAACCGTTCTCCCATGTTGCCCCTCTCCACTCCAACCACCCCTTATGCTGGCAAGAGCATAGAGGGGCTCAGTTTTGTGCCTGTCTTGTTGCTCGGTGCACTTGCACTCTGCCTAATGCTGCCCATCCCTTTCCCTGCTCACCACCCCTCAGGAACGTGGAGTGGAGGTGTCATCGCATGCCTTTTGTGCTCTATCACCTCCCACCTGCCTGCCATGTCCAGTTTGCCTAACCAACACTACCTTTCCCCTTTAATCTGCACTCCCCCGTTGTAACAGGCTGAATATTCCGTGGTGCACCACAAGGCTTGTGGCAAACGCATTCCTACGGATGCGGATGTGAATGCAGCTGACATTGCCTGCTACCACCGCAAGGTGAAGGCGGCCATTCGCAAGACCCTCGAGGAGTCCCCGGATGACCAGCTTCCTGCATGGTCGGAGCAGTATCAGGGGTGGGTGTTTGGACCCACCGAGACTGTGGTGATCTCGGGCAGCGGCTTCCCCGACCTCGTTCCCGATGGGGCTGACCCCGATGCCGCCGAGAAGAAGGCGGTTGCTCTCCTGTTCGAGTATGCCCAGGTGGAGCCCGAGAAAGGCAAGAAGAAGAAGACGGGTTCCAACAACAGTGATGCCACCATGGAGCGTGATCTCCTGGATGATGTGGGTGAGTGGGAGGATGCGGAGGATAGTGTGTAGACGTGGATGATGTGGGCGGCCGAGTTGGTGCCATGCTGGGATCTGTTGTATTATATAGCTTATGTATTATATATAATTGGGAAATGGACAGATGGTTACATTCGGGATACAAACATCTGGGTCACTTTCAGCAAGAAATTGGAGCCCCAAATTTGCACAGATTCCATACAATTGGTCAGGCAAATGTATGTTTTTTTAACAGAAAATGCATGACTACCGGGAGGCAGTTTCATGATGTTGGGACAGCAAATGTAATATAAGTGACATGTAAATGAGGAACATTTACTAACTAAATAGCTAGTCCTTTTCGTATGGAAATGGACCCTACTAAAAAGGTACGACAACTTCTACTTTATAGTAGGCCTAATCACCCCTACTAAATACATACCAAGGAGTATAGAAAAGGTATGTAAAAGGTATGTATAATCAATAGGGATTTTTGAGATGGTAAGCCCTCCCCACCCTGCTGTGTCACCGGTGCATGTTGGTGGTAACTGCACTGGTGCATGTTGGTGGTAACTGCACCGGTGCATGTTGGTGGTAACTGCACCGGTGCGTGTTGGTGGTAACTGCACTGGTGCATGTTGGTGGTAACTGCACCGGTGGATGTTGGTGGTAACTGCACTGGTGCATGTTGGTAACTGCACTGGTGCATATAGTGGTCACCACACCGGTGGTGGTAACCAAACTGGTGTGACTGTTGGTAACCACACTGGTGCGAATGTTGGCAACTGCACTGGTGTGAATGTTGGTAACCGCACTGGCGCATATAGTGGTAAGAGGGGCCCTTGTCTCTACTCTGTGACACGAGTGCCTTGAGGTTCATGCATCCCGTGTGTGCAGGGTAACCCATGTCTGTCAGCCCTCTGTTCCCTGCTTGCCTGCCCGCTCCATGCCCCATCAATCCCATGCAGGGTACCCCACGTGGAAGGGGCAGATTCTGGATGGAGAGCAGCTGTGGGCGCTAATAGAGGGCTTGGAGGCCAATGGGCTGCTCTTCTACACGCACCTGCTCACCGGTGGGTTCCAGGTGCATGATCACCTGTAGCTTCGAAACAGCACATCGCACATGGCTATGCAATTTCTCTTACACTTACCATGCCTCTTGTCATGCCATTTCACATGCCCCCTCACATGCCATTCCACATCAGACATGGGCATTTTGACCTGACAGGTTGGGTCGTCGGGTCGGGTCCAGGACAGGCCGACCGGACCCGGTCAAGTCGACTTGCGACCCGTAGATTCATATGTCAACCGGGTCGGGTCAAACCGACCCGTTGACGGGTCGCACTGGACCCGCCTATGATCACCCAATCTTCTACGCACCATCAGATCTGTTTGAGTCCTTGCGCGCACATCAGCAGCCGCGCTTCCCACTACCAGAGAGTAGTGCGCGCCACCCCACAGAGCAGCGCGCGTTACTCCCACCTGCATACAGCGCTCGCTCCCATTATTGAAAATACTAAGCTGAGTGCGCCACGTCAGGCAGCAAAGTGCGCGCCACTCCCAACTGCCAACTCACATGCCCTTTCAAATGCCATACCTCATGCCGTTTTACATACCATGTGACACGCCTTACATATCCCATCCCCCATACCATCCCCCATGCCTTCCCCCATACCATCCCCCATGCCATCCCACTTCAACGCCACACATGCAGGGAAAAGGGGATTTCGTGGCAGCATTGCTGCTTGGATGGTCTCATGTAATCCGTTGCCGCATGGCAAGCATCTCATTGCGTCTCAGTCCTACATTCGAATTCACATGCCATCCCCCATGCCATCCCACATACAGGGAACAGGAGATTTGATGACAGCATTGCTGCTTGGATGGTCACATGTGAGTGGGGCAGTTGCAGCACGGTGCTGCATCTCACAGTGCTGGTTACATTTCACAGTGCTGGTTACATTTCACAGTGCTGGTTACATCTCACAGTGCTGGTTACATCTCACAGTGCTGGTTACATTTCACAGTGCTGGTTACATCTCACAGTGCTGGTTACATCTCACAGTGCTGGTTACATCTCACAGTGCTGGTTACATCTCACAGTGCTGTTTACATCTGACAGTGCTGGTTACATCTCACAGTGCAGTGATGGTTACATCTGACAGTGCTGGTTACATCTCACAGTGCTGGTTACATCTCACAGTGTTACATCTCACGTGCTGGTTACATCTCACAGTGCTGGTTACATCTCACTCTTCTGGTTACATTGACTCAATCTGCTCCTCATTCTCTCAGCTCCTCTCCTTCCATTCTCTCCCTCACACACTTTCCTTTCCCCCCTCTCTCCCTCTTTCCCTCCCTCCTTCCCTCCCTCTCTCCCTCTTTCCCTCCCTACTTCCCTCCCTCTCTCCCTCCTTTCATCAGAAGTATCCTCAAGACTTGGCTAGAGCAGCGGAGCTAGCAGTGGCATCCCTACAGGTGAGCAGCTGCTGTTGCGCCTCGTGCTTGTGTTTGTTGATGCTCTGCTGTGTTTTCAATGTTCGTCTAGCTTTTCTGTTTCAACAGCAGAGCTGGCAGTGGCACTGGGCTGTCCATGGCTTTGAGGCAAGCTATATGAGCAGAGTTGGCATTGGCAACCCGTGGCATTGCAACCTTCCTGACCTGATTGCTGCTCTCCTCCCATTCTTTCTCCCTACAGGCTGTGCTCGCACGAACCTTGCAGCACCGCTCTCCACCTCTGGACGGCACCGAGTCCTCTCCCACTCCCCCCACTCCCAATCGCCTGGAGCTCTGCCTCGTTCAGAGCCGCGATGACATTATAAGCCCGCCTGTTGTGTTACGTGCACAAGCGGTTGAAAGTGGTGTAGATGGTTTAGATGGATTGCAAGATGGTGAAAGTGCCTTGGTGAGTGGTGACAGTGTAGGGGTGCTGCAGGATAAGGGAGTTGATGCTCAGCTGACAACTGAGAGCTGAGTTGAATGTACTGTAAAAAGAAAACACTCAACTGTTTTTGGCCAGGTGAGGCACTTCCCTGAGCACAATTAACACTAAGAAAAGGACCAGGCGAATTCGAACTCACAAGCTGTTACGCTTCAATATTTCGGAGAGAGGGTTATGCTAGTGGTCCTGTGTTGAATTAACTTGGTAGGTATCATGTTATACTACAAGCAAGTGATTTCCGTACTGAGCTCTCTTGTCAAGCATCATGGAGGACGCAGAGCCGCTGCGCGCGCTCTCCGCCCACATCGCGTAAAAACGGACGCGGGTATCGCCCTTACTTAGATAGTCTCCCTCAGCTTTCCGCTCTATCGCCGCGTTCCTTCCGTCCCTGGTCCCTCCCCGCGCTGCGCGCGCTCTCTGTCCACAGCGCGTGACGCGGACCGTACTTGTCTCCCGCCGAGTAGCCATGGAGGACGCAGAGGCGCGCCGCTCTCGCCTGCGCAGCATGCGCGAGTCCGCGGCGAAGCAGCAGGCGGCGTCCCCCGGCGCGCCCACGCCTTCCGCCGCCCTCTCCGCACTCCCCTCCCCTGACTTCTCTCCGCCGCTTATCCGCACGCATCTGCGTGTGCGCCATCCGGGGAAGGCGGACCTGGGGGAGGTAGATCTGCTAGACGGCCAGCAGGAGCAGCCACCACAGGCTCGGGGAATTTCTCACAGGCCTCATGTAAATATCTTCAAAGCTCTAGCGTGTTTGTCTTAAAGCCCTATCATTCTCAGCTTCCGAGGTACCTGATCTACCCTACTCCCCAGCACCACGAGTGTCAAGTGCTGCCGTTTATGACTCCCAAGTCATCTCTCAAGCATTTCTCGTGTCATGTCGTGCTGGTGCCGCGCCGTGCCGGGTCGCGCCGTGCCGTGCCGGGTCGCGCCGTGCCGTGCCGTGTCGTATCCTGTATGCCGACCGTATGTCGAAAATGTCCATCGGGGAACTACCTTGAGGCAGAAGCAACTCAACGTCTCTCCCTCCCCATGTGTGATGCACCCTCCAACTGCCTGTCTAACTAATATGGGCCCTTCTCCCAGGTTGAATAGAAAAAACCCCTGTTTCTGGCCTCTGTTTCCCTCCCTTGCAACATCCAGACTCAAGCAGACGCCATCACTGCATGTGACATGCTGCGCGCTGCAGGGCCCAGGAAGGTATGCGAGGCTACAGGGGAGGAAGAAGAGTGGGCAGGTAGGTGAGGGGGACTTTCTGGAATCTCAATACTGTTTCGAACAAACGTGTGGCGGTGGATTAGCCTGCTGCTTGATGCTGCGGGTCCCAGAAACGTATTCTGCACGGCTAGGGCCTAGAGGGGACGGAGAACTGTGGGGCAGGAACTTTCGGGAAACTCAAATTTCCTCAAGTGTTTGAATGTAAGTATGATGGTGAATTGGGATGGTTTTGCATGCTCTAGGGCCCAGAAAGGTATCACATTGAGTGGGGTTCAGGTCATCTAAACCTCATGGGGGTTGGGGGTGGGATGGGGGGGGGGGAGGAGGAGGGGGAGTGGGGGACGAGAGGGGGAGAGAGAAGGGCACCCCTGCTGAGGACGGCATGGTGGGCGTGCTGACGTCATGGTTTGCTTGCTTGCTGGCGCTCTGGCACCGCTGCGAGAGGGGAAGGACAATCCTCGAGTTTCCGTGCTGAATTGATTTACCAGCAAGCAACACCTCCTCGTAATTCATCAGGTGAGGCACGAGGAGTGGAGGGAGTGTACTTGCTTTGCTTCGAGGAGAGAGGGAGGGTGAAGAAACACCTCTTTCAACTCCACTCAACCGCTGTCACGTACCCCACGACACTCCCATCAGGTGGAGATCGCGAGCATGGAGGTGAAAGCCCAGCTGCTGGTGGTGGAGGGGAGATGTCCCATGAAGCATCGCCACATCTCTTAAGCCCGCTCAACCCCTGTCAACTGCTTTCAACCCCCCCAAAATATTGTAAACACCCCAAAACACTCCCGTAATGTGGTGATCACGAGCATGGAGGTGGATGGATGGCCGGTTGCTGGGGTGGAGTGGTCCTTGCGGCAACACCCCTCTTAAACCTGCTCAAACCCCTTCAACCACTTTCAACCGCTATCAACCCCTTTCAACTGTTTTCAACCACTCCCATCAGGTGGTGATAACGAGCATGGAGGTGGATGGCCAGCTGCTGGTGGTGGGTAGCGACGCCAGCAGCCCTGCTGTAGAGCAGGTGGGTGTAGCAGAGAAGGTGAGTGGTTCAGCAGAGCAGGTGAGTGGTGCAGCAGAGCAGGTGAGTGGTGCAGCAGAGCAGGTGAGTGGTGCAGCAGAGCAGGTGAGTGGTGCAGCAGAGCAGGTGAGTGGTGCAGCAGAGCAGGTGAGTGGTGCAGCAGAGCAGGTGAGTGGTGCAGCAGAGCAGGTGAGTGGTGCAGCAGAGCAGGTGAGTGGTGCAGCAGAGCAGATGAGTGGTGCAGCAGAGCAGGTGAGTGGTGCAGCAGAGCAGGTGAGTGGTGCAGCAGAGCAGGTGAGTGGTGCAGCAGAGCAGGTGAGTGGTGCAGCAGAGCAGGTGACTGGTGCAGCAGAGCAGGGCACGGGGTGTGTGGGTGCTGGACTCGCTGCTGATAGCCTGGTGCTGGTGGTGGGGCGTGACGCCAATAGCCCTGCTGTAGAGCAGATGGGTGAGGTGACAGGGCATGGGGCGTGCCAGTGTGGTGGTCGAGGTGTGCTTTGAGTCGAATCACTCGCATGTGGTTGGATATGCTGCTGCTGCTAATGCTGGTGCTGGTGCTGGTGGTGGGGAGTGACGCCAGCAGCCGTGCAGCAGGGGAAGTGAGTGAGGTGACAGGTCATGAGGGTGTTGGTCTGGTGTTGAGGTGTGGTTTGAGATGACTCCTGAACATGCTGCTTGTGCTGCTGGTGGGTAGTGATGCCAGTAGCCCTGCTGCAGAGGAGGTGTGTGAGAGGGCATGGGGGTGTTGGTCTAGTGCTTGATTTGATGTGTGGTGTGAGGATGGGGCAGGTTTCACACAACAGGTCGGCGCATGAGGCATGCCGTGTCGGTGAGTGTTAGTAGGTCAGCAATGGGCCCTTGTTTTGACCTTGGAAAGCAGGTCTCATCACTTCACCCCCCTGCCCTTGTCACTTCACCCGCCTGCCCTTGTCACTTCACCCGCCTGCCCTTGTCACTTCACCCCCCTGTGCTGGTGACTTATCCTGCCTACCTGCAGTGAACTTGTGCCACTTTTCTTCTTTCTCCCCTCTTTCATTCAATTTCTCCTACGTTTGCACCTGCCCTGCCCACCCCTACATACACCACCCCGTACATACACTGCCCTGGCTCCCACTCTGGTCAACATCTTGACATACGTATTTCAGGAGGAGGGCCCCGGACCACCTGGATCATCTGGATCACATTCCTTGCAACGCTTCTGCTTTGCAGTGCCCAAGATATCCGAGTACTTCACTGTATGGCACTCCTTCTCACACTCTCTCTTCTCACACCCTCCTTCTCTCACTCTCCTCACACTCTCCTTCAGTGTGCAAATCAAAACAAGCAGCGCATATCGTCTCTCTCATCCCCCCTTGCTCTCCCTTCTGCCCTCCTCTCCCTTCCCCCCCTTACTCCCCTCCACCTCCCTCAGGCGGCAAGGCGACAACATGAGCGTAATCGGAAGGGTGATGGCAGAAAGCTTGTTTGTGATTGATTAATAAGCAGAGATGGGGTACAAGAGAGGGGGAAACCCCCCTAAAATCCTGAAAAAACCCCCCCACAGCCCCCCCAAGGCCCCCCTAAGGCCCCCCTACCCCCCAATTCTCCTCACAGCCCCTCACAGCCCCCCTCGAACCGCCCTGGAAATCCCTGGGCATGGCCCATGCATATCTGCTCCCTGTCATATCACATTCCTGCTTCTGCTTCTTCTTTGTGCTTCCTTTCTATCATATCCCTCCCGGGCATGGCATGGCATGGCATGATATGGCCAACCAGGGAGGGGCGCACAGCACAGAGAGCCAGGAGCTCATCCACCACTCCCTCTTCTGTTCTGCTTCTGCTCCCCACTCCCCTCCCTTTTCCCTCACCCCTCCCCGCTTTCTCTGCCCGCCTGCGTATATAATAACAAGCACATACATTCACATTCGCTAGGTCATCAAATCTATAAGTCATCTATCACTCTACGCGTCGTAGCAAATAGCCTCATGTTGTCGACAGGAGAAAATGGCACATGCGCTCCCTCCTTGTGCATCTGTTTCTCTCTCTTCTTCTCCCTCATGTCCT